CATATCATATCTTAGGCATCCATATAGCTTCATTAGAGTCCTAATACACTCGGCAAATCACCTACGTGCAAACCTTTACTAGGTCCATCGAAACGAATGTCAAAATGCATAAATTCTCTAATGAGATAACTATGATGAGTTCAAGTCAAATGACCAGTTGTACCGATCTCGTATGAGATTTTTATAGACTAAACCAAATGGGTTCTCATGGAGAGTCAAGTCCAGGTGATATGTTCTTTAACATTAATCGCCTAAGTTCTTGCTTGACATCACCATGCTAATAAGTGTGAGATCTCTTACTCGCTATCTTATAGCATAAGCATAACACTCGCAAGTCTAACCACATATAGTCAATGTCCATTCTTAAAAATACTACAACTTTGGATATTTAATGATATCATTTAAGTGCATTAATGTTTATCTCATATCTTTCGATCAATTATTAATGCAATGCATATCATATGGATTTCTATCTAATTTTAATAAATAAACATAAACAATGAGAATTAATAGAAAGACTTTTTTTTATTAATCACCAACCCTATTTCAACTTAAATGGTCTAAGGTCTCCGACCCTTTTGGATTCGATACATAATGGTATATTTAATCACACTTCAAGTTTCATTAATAAACATAATCAAAACAATATTCGTCTCATTAATTTAGAAACAATAAAACCATAGATAAAATACAATAGTTTTCATTGACAATTTAAAGTGATACAATTATTTTAGAATTGTTATCCAAAATATTTCAAAAGGTTTTGAAATTGTCCAAGTGGTCCGATTTAAGGTTAGTTCCACTCTCTTCATTCCCGATAAGAACCGATTATTCGGTTAGCTAAAAAATGATAACAATTATCCATTTTCATAATGTTATGTTGGTCCTGCTATGGTGGTCGAAGGTTGCGGTAACCATTGCTGCCGGTTGTCAAAGTTATTGCTAGTTGAAGGATTAGGCAACAATACAAAGCTACTAGAAAGAGTCGCTAGTAAGATTAAACATGTTAGGTCGTTGCACAACATGTTATAACCTATGACACCATGTTGTCTCTTCTAGAAAAATACAAAAAAAATATAGTTTACAACATCATGTTGTTCCTGTCAAACTCAATAATCAATCGAAAAAAGTTTATTTATTTATTTTTTTATGTTTTGGTATTCTGTTATATCCAATAAATCAGTTCTAGTTCCTACTTACTACCAACACAACAATGCACATATTTTGAATATTTTTTTGTTTTGATTATGTCTAAAATTTGAGGCTAAAATTTGTTATAGGTTTTGACTAAGGAGTGGATATATGAGACTCGTCGTAGTCATGATCAAGGAGCAAATGACAATGGTGGTTATGAAGATTTTAAGCTAAAATGAGAGGAGGAAGATAAAGGGGAGGCTACTATTTTTTTTTTTTTTTTTTAGGAAGAGGATGAATCAAATAAGCTAATAAAAAGGTGATGACTCGCGATGATGATCCGACAATGATGGTGCTAGCCGAGTTTCGGATGAGAAGGTGAAGGTTGGTCATTTAGAGGAGAGTCGGTGAGGGTAGTAATTTGGAGGAGAGGGGCTGGTGAGGGCAATCAATTGGAGGAGAGTGAGGCTAGTTGCTTGGAGGAGATAGGTTAGTAAGGGTGGTCGATCGAAGAGAGTAAGATTGTCGTTTAGAGAAAAGGGGTTTGTAAAGGTTTTGATAAAAAAGAGAGAGACGGGAGGTGGTTGCAAGATCGGGGGAGATCATGAATAGTAATTGATATAAAAAAATAAAAAAGGGTGGGTATTTATGAGAGAAATTAGGGCTTTTTGGTAAAAGTTAATTTTTGTCTCGATTTCTCCTAACTCATCAATTTAAGTACAATTTTGATTATTTAAACTTCAACAACACCCCTAAATTGCAATTAATCATGATATCTTTTTTGAAATTTCTTCTAATTGTACCATTTGTTTCTTTTATTTAAGGGTTTTGGGCTTTTTAATTGTACCCTCAATTGAGTTTTCTTGCTTCTCAAACTTCCTCTTTTTTTTTTAATTAGACCTCTATAACTAATTTTAGCCACTTATTTTTAATTGCAAACTTTCCTTTTCTTTTTCTTTGATTTCTTTTGTTTGTTTTTTTGTTTGTTTTCTAAGAATTAAAAGAAAATAAATAAAGGGGTAATGATCGAGTAATAAGAAAATACACATTACTAATACCGATAATTTGTTTAATTGTATGTCAATACTCGAATCGTAAAATGATCTAATTTTATTAAAATGCATCCGCAATTCAAAGAGATCATAATTTTTAGATATAAAATTGGATTTGAATTCCTCATATGCAACATTTCCATATTAGGAAAAAGGCTTTACAAATTACATTTGGGATTCCTCAACCATTCTTTTATATGTAGATTTTCACCTTTTCAACTCATGTCTTGCTATTCTTTCATCGTGGCCACCAAACCTAAATCATTTACGAACTCGTTAAAAGCAATCTTCTTGTGAGTTAAATGTGTTACAACTAGACTCTATAAATTGTCATATTTTATAATATTTGGATAATGATTGTAATTTTATGATACCTTAGAGGGTTATTGTAATTTAGCTCACTAAAAAATGGATATGAGATTTGCTTATTATATACTTACCCATGTTTATATTATTCATAAAATATACATTACTAATATTGACGATTTCTTTGATTGTATTGTCGTAACTAAGCTACGAAGTAGTCCAATTTTATTAAAACGTATCTACAATTTAAAGAGATAATACTTTTATATACACATTAGATTTGAATTCCTCAAATACAACATTTCTATACAAGGAAAAAGGCTTTAAAAACTACATTTGAGATTTCTCGAGCATTCTATTACATATAGATTTTTACCTTTTTTTCTCGTGTCTTACTCTTCCGTCACCGAGTCCATCGAATCCGGACCCCATTTTGAACTCTTTAAAAGCAATTTGTTTGTGAGACACATGCTTTACAATGAGACTCTATAGATATATTTTTGTTGTGTATTGCATAGTGATGTCATTTTAAAATATCAGTCTCTATCTCGTTTAGAACCCTTTTGATTAATCCAATAGTTTTTTGAAAGAATCTTAAAGAGAAGAGTATTATATTGTTCTTTTTTATTAGAAAATTATTATATTTTTGAATTTTAAGATCAAGGGGTGTTTGAAGAAGTCATCGGTTGCTTTTTTTCATGATCGGTACTTGATGTTTGAAGAAAATCACATGCGGGTCTCTAAATACCGATATCGATAGGTAAATTTTATCCTCAATTACATTTGTAGAAAAAAAAAAAAGTTATGTCATGATCATATGTTGTTATTTTTTAACCCCTTTTATAAGGCCATGGATCTTGATTTCCAAAAATATTTGAAAAAATTTTATAGTTCTATTTTTTAAAAACATTTCAAGTGATTTTTTCAATTATTTTGTTGATCATGTATTAATCTATTTTTTGTTACTATGAAATTTAATATTATTTGTTTCTTCTTTATTTTTTTATATTAGTTTTTAATTTAAATTTTATATTAACAATATAATGAGATATCGGAGGATTTGAAAAATAACCTATTCAAACCTCAAGACGTTGGGCATTACTATGTAAAAAATGGTGGATGGATCTAATTTATAGCAAACTATGCTCACAGATCATCTTACAAATTAGATTTATCTCATCATAATTATGAATATACCCTAAGTTAATTTGGGATATTTGATTTGTTTAGAATAGAATATTTGATGGCCATTTTATTTTGATTTCAAAAATAATAAAGACAATGATTCTTTTTCATCAAATTTTGCAAAAAAAAAAAATTGACATTTTTATTTTTGGTTGGATACACGCATCACACATTCTTGGATCGGATTTCCATCCACTCTCATGAAGTCAAATCACCAATAAAAAATCGTATATTTGTGTGTTTGTATATATATATATATATATCTTTTTCTTTCTTTATAATTAAAATTCAGTTTATTAATAAAATAATTTTTTTATATTTACAAGTTTGTTTACGATTTTAGATTACAGTCATACTGGCCTGAATTTGGATATTAATTTATTAGAAAATGAAGGTAAAGTTAGTGTAAGATTTCATTTTGAATTTATATTACTTGCTTGAGTTGCTTCGGATATTAGAGGTACATGAAATTAGGAGGGATGCATGTAACTTTATAATGATTTAAGAAAAGAGAGAGGGTCGGTCAAGTATACAATGGGTAGCTAGCAGGTGAACCAAGCCTCACCCGATGCGATCCGGTTGAAAGCCGAGGCAAGTGATAGGTTTGGGTTTTTGAGATCGGGACAAATATATATATATATATATATATATATATATAACCTGTTTGGCTGGTTTAATGGCGGAAAAGTTTCTTCTTTTTTTCCTTAATTATTTGTTTAAGCAACGAAATTAAATTAGGGATTCATTCGAAGCAAAATAAACACATATGCATGCATTTTAAAATTTTTATATAATCTCTTGCATATGTATACATTACTTGAATATGCAAACCTTCTTTTTTGCTATGGTAAGCGGTACTCCTTAATTAGCGAGTTCACTCATGAATTTCAACTAGTACTAGAAAATAACGAGGGAAAGAAAAACGATTGTTTTTAAGGCACCAACGAACATAAATAGATTGGAGCAAAAGAAAGAAAAGAAAAATGAACATCAACCGTAACGCTCCAATAACTGTTACTCGTTATAACAATAGCGACAAGCTTTTTATACACTTCCTCTTATGGCTTCAATTCTTGTTCCATATTTGAACATCAACCTTGTAACTCTCCCATGAAGAAGATTAAAGCAATCAACAAAATGAAATGGAAACAAATCAAAATGATTTTGTGATTTACACAGATGCTATTTTTGTTTACTAGCTAGCTAGCTTTTACTGTCATGGTGTTTGCCATTCTAATTTTTTTCTTTTCTGTTTCAGATACTTTCTTGCATTCCAAAACACAAATACTTGAAGCAGAACCAGGGCTCTTGAAATCTAGAAACATGTCTTATAAGTTAAGGACTAGAACACAAAAGAGACCGTATGTCAACTCTAGCTGTGATGATGATGGATATGAAAGCGATTCTGAAAGGAGAAAGGATCCTGATTTTACCAGGACCGTTAGACCGCGAAGAAGGAAAACTGGTGCTTCTGTGATGATTGCTGAAAATGCGGAACAAAGAAGGGTGGATCACCCTCCTAAGAGAGCGAGGAAATCAAGTCCTTCAGCCGGAGAACCAAGTACTTCTGGCAGCAAACCTGCAGAATCTGTAGAGAGAACTATAATGTCATGGTTGATTGACCAAGGCGTAATCATCGAAAACGAGAGAATTTATTATGTTGCTGAGAGAGAGGGGGATTCGGATGATCGAAAACAAAGCAAAAAGGAGGTGCTAAAGAATGGAAGAACAAGCAGAAAAGGTGTGTGGTGTGAATGCTGCAATGAATTTATGACAGTGTGGGATTTTGAGACTCATGCCGGAAGTTTCTTACAAAGGCCATATGAACATATCTATGTTGCTCGAAGCAACAACTCCCTCCAGCAATGTCAAGCTGAAGTTTGGCAGAGCAATGTAGAAGTGGAGAGGCGCACCTTTAATGAGATTGTTCCTCGTAATGGCTCCTCCGATGAACATGATGATGCTTGCCTGATTTGTGGAGATGGAGGGAACTTGATCTGTTGCGATAAGTGTTCGTCCACTTCCCATCTCAAGTGCATTGGATTGGAAGTACGTAAATTTTCGTGGCATGATAAGACTTTTTCGAACTAAGATGTCTCTGAGTACAAGTCATTGCTCCACTATGTATAATGTAATTTTTTTTATTTTTGGTTAATTGCAGAGCATTCCCCAAGGAGATTGGATTTGCCCCTACTGTGTGTGCAAGCACTGTAATAAAGACGATCAAGAATTGCAAACTTGCGTTCAATGTGATAAAAAATGTAAGTACTTTTACTATCATTTCCTGCTTTTTTTTTAAAGATTCTCACCAGTTGTTTTACAATTCTTGTATTCACTAATGAAGCTGTATCTTTTGCTGTCATAGATCATGGCCAGTGTTTGGTTAACAAGCAGGAGTTGGATCTTAATGCCAGTGCCGAAACGTTAGCATGTGATTCTCGCTGCAGAGAGGTATATACTTCGAAACACTTTGCTTTCTTTTGATTGCCTTAACAATTACCATTTTGCACGTAAATAGCCCAGAAAACATTAACATATAAGAATTATCAACTTGAAATGTGAACTGATCTTGAACTTTATTTTATTTTAAGGTTTACGAGAAGCTTCAGAGCCTCGTAGGTGTGAAACATGAGTTAGAAGGGGGATTCTGTTGGACTCTCCTCCAGCGGTTGGAGCCAGACAACTTGGACTTCGAGAATCGCCATTTAATCACTGAATGCAATTCAAAAATTGCATTGGCTTGGGAGGTGCTGAACGAATGTTTCGATACAATCATTGATAGGCATACGCAGATCAATGTGGTTCAGAGTGTTGTTTATAGTCAAGGGTGAGCACTTCTAGATTTTGCAGAGCTGTGCCTTTTTCCCATGGTATTTATGTTTCAGCTTCTCATAGAACTATGGACGGCTGTTTAATACTTACCAGCCTCTTAAACATTTTTTTTTCTTTAGTTTTTTACGTGTTGTGCCATATACGTACTGATGCAAGAACTTCTCTAGAACACAGTCAATTTTGCCTTTTTACTTTCAACAAAGAATTCCTCAAAAGTCAAAACTTAAGAAAAATCAAGAAATAAAGACTGGATCACATCTCATTTCTGTCTTTCCAGATCAAACTTCACCAGGATAAATTTTCGAGGGTTTTATACTGCGATCCTGGAGAAGAATGATGACATAATTTCAGCTGCAACTATAAGGTATCTTCATTTGTCAGAAACAAATTACATATGTTAGTCTTCGTGCAAGTTCGGTTCATATCATCAAAATACACACGTAGGACTTTCTTAACTTGGGAGTGTTTTCTCCTCGCTTCTGCAGGGTTCATGGGACTGAGTTGGCTGAGATGCCTTTCATTGGAACTCGGGAAATGTATAGGCAAAAAGGGATGTCGAGAATGTTACTGGTTACTCTTGAATCAGTAAGTTCTCATGTGAAATTTTCTACTCTTTTCAAAGCAATACTCCACATTCTCATTCATTTTTAATTATGAGGTTTCCAAAACTAATTTTGGTTAACTGCTTCACATAATTTATAGCAGAAGTCTGGTCAAAACCAGGAACTTTCACTTTGTTTCATTTTTTAAGTGTTGCGATATCCCTAGGTTGGTCTCAATTCTGCCTATTATGCGTTGTAGCATTATTTTGGAGTTGAATGTTATGCTCTCAACTGCTAAAAAATGCGGTCTATTTTTACTTATCACTTAAGGCATGCTGCTTCTATTATTATAATTTTTAGTATTGAACTACTTTGGTACTTCTGATTTAATTCCCAGATTTTTTCCGTTCTTGGAGTTGAACATCTGATCATCCCATCAGTCCAAGAGCTTACCGATATGTGGAAGGGAAAATGCGGGTTTTCAACCATTGAAGATGGCGTATGCAAAAAGATAAACAATAGGAACACCCTTACGTTTCCGAGTACAGTTAGGCTGCAGAAGGCCCTCCACACCACCCCAGCTTGTAGTCCCTGTGCAGTCATGGATGTGGATGAGGGTGCGGATGCGGCTGCGGATGGGGATTTGGATGTGGAGAGTACGGGTGCGGATGTGGAGAGTACGGGTGCGGGTGTGGAAATGGTCAGAGATAGCTGTGCAAAACTAGCTGGATTAGATTTGAACCTGGAATATACTGAATGTGAAGATGAAGATGTAGCAAGACCAGTGACATAATATTTTGCAGTTTAATCAAACACCAGGGACCGGACATTTTTTGCCATTTAAAGGATCGTTTCAGGCCAGATTCTTTTGTGCTAGACTGCCTAATAGATTTCAGGTCTTTGAGCTGCGCAATGTCTCTGTCGTTGTTGTCCTAGTCTCTTTCGATTTAGGATTAGTTCATCTGCTGGATATTATTTTGCTAGCTTGGAGACCCCCCTGCAGTTGCTCATAAACTACCTTTTAAAAACAGTACATTACTTTGAACACCTTATAGTTTTAGTGTTATAAAAGTTTACTTCGAATTTTTTATTTACAAAAAAAAAGGACAAAAAAAAAAAAAAAGGTAGTTTGCAGGTACTCAGTATATCATCATCATAAACCCGTAACATTCGAAGAATTTAAATGATAACTAAACAAAAACTGATGAAAATACAAAAAGCATTGCAACGTGAAAACAAGGCTGCTGAAAGTTTTTCTTCCACCATATACGACCAAACTAATACAACCATTACAAATAATTAAATTTTTTCCAACTATTTATTTGGTAAATTATATTTACAATGTGAAATATTTTTCATATTTAATAAAACATTATGAAATAAAATAATTAGTATGCATCATCAAAATGATGGGGATAAATTTATTAATGCATAAAATTTTATTAGTTTATTTCATAATCTTAAGTGTAGACCACATGTGCGCAATAATTTCTCAAAAAACATGAAGAGAATAACCCGAGACATGTATTCATTCTAGGGCCCTTTGGTATTTTTAATATCCCACTAACTGAATCATTGCTACCATCCGCTAAAAATGTCCGAGTGTAAAATACCAAAAATTGGAAAGCAAGTGTTATAACACTTGAATCAGAGGATGCTCGGAATAATTTACCCAAAACTTAATCTGTAACTCTTTCCTATCGATTATCATAGGGATCAATAGAAACAATTACATGAGGGTGGTGGGATGGGGTGGGGGTTGAAACTAAAGGGTACCTCAGCTTTCTCTGGGCAATATATTCCTTTTAGACCATGATGACAGTAGATATAAAAAGGATGTCAGAAAACTATGATCACTTGTTGGAGGTCCGCAGTTTCTCAGCTGTAGATAGAGAGAGAGACATCTGATATAGATCATAAATAAACTAACGATGAGTTTATCAATGGGCATCATTGATCCTGAACTTAAATTCAGTAGAGTTAAACAGTAGTGGCTTGTATTGAATGAGACTACAACAATGAAAAAGAAGCCCTGTTATTCATCCCTTCTCTTGTACAAGAATGAACAATAATTCCAATTATGGCTCAATGATTGAGGTAAAACGAGGGTAAAAGAATGGGTTAAGGCAGCACTAAATCAATGTCACTTATACTGTCATCTAAAATTCCGAAGTTTCCCTAGCACTAGTCAATCTTCTATCCTTTCGCTTTTTGCAGCATCTGATCCCTCATCTCGGCATCTTTCAAGGATCATATTACAGTTGTTCATTGTGGACGCATCAAGAAGACCATGGTTCCACAGTTTGATCATGAATAACCTCCAACACCTGAGTCCATGGACATTTGATAGTTCAAATACAGATATCCAAGGAATGCGACAATCATGCAACTGTGCAAGCTAAATCATGGTGTTATCAACAAGAAGGAGCTGATCAAAGGGGCTGAATGCATTAACCACAATGCTATTTGGAGTTACCGTATGATAATTAGAACAGTATAATTCTACAAGAAGAGCAGCAGTCAGTAGATGGTTCAGCAGTTAAGGTAAGGGGGCATCCATCAAAAGATGGTGAAACCAAAAATCTTACAGAATTATGTTGCCATTTAACAGCAAAGCATTTTACTACCTTTGACTCCAATTTAATGCGACATCATTAGAATTTGTTTCAAAACTTCAATTTCAGGTGGACCTTGACTTGATAAGAAACTCGTCAAATAGAATTTAATTTTACAGAGCAGGAATATAATTTTTCTGAATCTTCAAAGAGATGTTGATAGCTGATCAAGGCTTACTCAATGGCAACAATTTGTAGGTTAATATGATTATTAATAGGAAAATCGAACCAATTTGTATGCACATATGGTCAGAGTTCAAGGGAAAAGATTGTGCTGGAATATTACCAAAAGAGAGCAGGAGATATGACCAACTCCTGTCCATGAAGTTTTGAAAATGCCTCGCATGCCCAAGGAACATGACCATCTGCTAGGACCCTGCCCAAGCAAAAGGTAAGCATTTTCATTATGACACCAAATCATTGAAGCAAGAATTAAGTAGCATACGGTAGGTGTTTTTCTGATTCCATTTGACATCTTAAATTACGAAGATAAAATGAAAATAAGCAGGAAAGAAGAGGAAAAGGAGATTCAACAAAATCAAAGGAATTGATAAAACCCCCTCCACCTTTGCTTTCTCACAAATGAGTTCCAAAGATGCATGAGTTGCTTCTCATCTTTGCTAACATCCACAAAGTCATCAAGCATCTGCAAAAAATCAATTCAATATATCTTAAACACTTTTAAGAGATGGGTTGAAAACATCTTATTCTAGGGTGCAACTAGAAGCAATGGACCGAATAAAATAATGTATAAGTTAAACCCAAATGTGGCTCACTTTTCTACAAAGGCAATGGAAGAAAAATAATTTGAATCTAGATTAGAAGTTGCAAACTCACCCATTAATTATCGAGTGACAAATTTTACAATATGAAGACATATTGATGGAACCTTATGAAACATTTGGAGTCAGCCAAACATTACACATAAACATGGTAGAATTATGATGTGCGGGGTTGCATGAACAAAATCTTAAGCTTTGACCTAATCCCATCAGAAAAGGTGAGACATCTATCATCTCTCATCTCTGAAACAATAAAGAAAAAAGAAGAAAAGCAAACCACTTATACAAGATGGTCAAATTTATTTCAATTTCCTAGTTACTAAACATTAGGTAAATAATATTGAAAACCAAAGAATCGAGAAACTTTTATTGATGTGTTCAATATACCATCCTCCCATTGATAATTCCATTAGCCAGTAAAGGACTTCAATCACTGACAATAATTTCATTCTTCACAATTCTTTTATTTAATTTTCCCAGAACTGTAATCAACTCTCACAAGAGGGGTTTTTTTTTTTTTTTTTTTCCAGCTCTTTCTGCTTTGTTTCAAAGAAGCTTGAAATTTTTGCATAAATGAGAAAAAGGAAAGCTGTTATCCAGTTTGCATAATTCGAATTGCACAAAGTCATGGTTTCCTCCAGTTTTAATTTTGATTTACTTCATCCCAGCACCCAGATTTAACTCATTATGAATACAACCAAAAGTTTCAAAGGACATGGTTTGAACTAGGCTAAGGTGAATGCAATAATTCAGAATATAAAATCTTAGAGTCTACGGTACATCTCATCTCTCATTAATTATTTACAGGAACCTCCTTATCAACAGACCAAGTGAAGCATTCCTCATTACCCAAAAAGCAAACAAACAAGTCCTTCACATTACTATTGAAGGATGTGAATCAGCCAAATAATCTCTTCTTGAATCATAATATATATCAAATTTAAACAAGGTAAATAAAATATGAAAGGAAGCGAAAAGCAACTTCGATTGTTGTAACAATATTCAATATATAGAAAAAGAAGCAAGAAAAATGACACAATCATCAACATACCCTTCTATCTTCAAAATCTGCAATGTCATCATCAACTTCGTCTTCACTATCTCTATCTGACATTACTTGCTCTAGCGCCATAGGCTTCAAGTAGAAAATGGAGATATTATCAGTAATCATCAGCAGAGGAAAAAGTGACAAGTTTAAAATAATGGAAGCTGATGTCAGCCACTAGAAAAGGTCAATTAGTCCTTAGGGAAACTGTTCACGAAACAGCAAATTATCAACTCCAGAAAATAACAAGCATTTAAATTCCTAAAGAACATGAACAGAAGATTTTCCAGGAAAATGAAATTAGAAGATGATTAATTGTTTTTATCACCTTCTAGCTACCAGGAGTTCTATAAAACTCAATCAACATAAAGAAAAAGGATTCTTTACCACATTTTGATCACAAGCGACCAGGAAATCAAGCAAGATCTGATGCACGCCATCATAAGAAACAATAACCATTATTTCAATATGAAATTTATGAAAATTAGTACCCTGTTGATAATTGACATTAAAACCCAGGATCTCATTTCCTATATCAATAAAAAAAATTCAATGTCTTGAGAAGTATTTCTGAAAATGCATATCCAGAATTCATTCCCCTTGAAGTGGCCAACAAGTCATCTTCATGGTGGATCATCTCATGTGGATGAAACATGGACCAACTACTATTTCCGATACAAAAGTTATATGCATAGTACCTATAGTTTAGTTTGTTTATCAAGCAAAGTTGCCCCATATATGCAAGTTAGAATATGAGAATGCCAGTCCTCCAGAAATTTTATCAAATTCTTATTTTAGCTCCAATTCAACTCAAACCGTAAGTCTTAAATATGAAAACCATCAGTTTGCAAATTGCCTTGGTGTTATTTAGTAAAATAGCATATGAAAATCTTGGAATGCAAGAAGAAAAATGGTTTGACAAGACAACAGTTAAAGCAGTCCATGAAAAATTGGAAAATAAAGGTAAAGTCTGAGGAAAAAAAAATCAATTAAAACAAATGCAAAAACACCAAGGAAAATAGGTTGGAAATTTCAAAGAATTAAGAAAACAAAAGGCATAAATTTTTCAGGGATTAGCTAATAGTGAGCAATGTCCCTTGCATAATAGAAACCATTTATCCAATTCAAAAACAAATATTTTTAGAACCCTCATGTAAAAGCGCGTAAACAGTATATTCTTTCAAGTCTACTGAAAAATATAAGATGGAGGAAACCTCATGATGCATTCAATTCCTTAAGACAGGGAAAGGAGGGAGGAGGAGAACAGGATGACCTAAGATAACCTGAACTAGTATTGAAGGATCTAAAATCCCTGATATTTAGTAGATTTGGTTTATAATCAAGATATCTCAAAAGGATCAATATAACCTAGCCCAGCTAGTTTGGAACTGACTCTTAGTTGTTGTTGTTGCTGTTCTCAATTGTAGACCTTAAGCTTCTCAAGGAAAATCATCATGGCATGATAGCCTCAGAAAGACTAAGCAACAATCTTCAGACCAGATAAATGATGCAGCTGAAAGATGAAGGAAACAGGTTCAGCAATAATTAATCACCTGAACTCTGTGAGAGTGATAAAATTGTCGTTTCTGCAGAAGAGCACGGCTGGTAAAAGAAAATTTCAGAAAGACATTGAATTAGGATTCCAAATTGACACAAGTAAAGACAAATTTTTGGCAGCAGTATCCTATTCATATGATGCTATGCTGTCCCATGTCAAGCTTCTAATATGCACAAAATGGCTGCACTTGCAAAGAAGCCATACAAGTTGAAGCCACCATAATAACAAGAAAAAGGACAAAAATAGTGTGATTCTAGGATAGTCATATGATATGCACAGCTGAATCAAAGTGGTCAGAAGAGGCTTTGCACCCCTTTTCAAGATTTATCTGCTTGGTTGGAACATATGTACAGAAATAAGCAAGTGCCTATTATACCTTTGAAAGTGAGTCAAGGGCCTTCCAAAACCAAAACATTACGACTTTGAAAGGAAAAGGACTAATAATTTAAAAAGGCCATTGAATATTGTTGAAAACGGACTAGGAAGGAGAGAGCCATGGAAACATACTATTTAGGGTCTGACCGTTCCACAGTTAGCTTCCTCGCTTTTGCAGGATGGTGTGCAGCAGGAAGAGAAGGCTCACTTCCAGATTGTGATTTAACACATTCAGGATCCACAGAAGATTGAGCCTGGGCAATTGAAACGCCAGGGATACTAAAACTGGATGCAACACGTTCCATTAACTCTGTAGCACTAGGAAACTCAGAAACATAGTTTTCTGCTCCATGTCTCAAGTTGTGCAAATCTTTCTCGCTTGAAGATGACTTGGAAGCATTCTCACCTATACAAGGGAGATAGAGCATCATAGAGAAACTACAGAAGCAAAAGAACAGAAACAATGGAACTTGATTATTTTCTATTTATCGATCTGATGAATTAAAATGTGTATATATAACAAGGAAGGCCCTAGAAGGTACCAACCATCTACAGGATTAAGAAACTACGTGAAAGAACTTCAACCTTCAGCAGGTAGATAGTTGGAAACCCAAAAAAATCAACAAATTTTGGGAAATCTGCCTCTACGTCAAGGATTGTCGTGTACGCCAGTGATGTCTAAATATCCTTCAAATACTCTTCTATGATTTATTTTGATTCCTTCATTTATTCTTTCTGAAAGAATAAAATTTGTATCTTGGTATGGTAGAAAGTGTGCAATATATTAGAAAAGAAGATAGAGGAGACGAGGAAATTGTCAGACTAAAAGAGAAACCCAATAGAGTGATACCCAGTTAATCATTACTTAAACCTTCTATGAGTGATTCCCAGTTCAATCATTACTTAAACCCACTAAGTCAAGGATTGTCGTGTATGCCAGTGATGTATTAATATCCTTCAAATACTCTTATATGATTTCTTTTGATTCCTTCATTTATTCTTTCTGAAAGAAAAAAATTTATATCTTGGTATGGTAGAAAATGTGCAATATATTAGAAAAGAAGATAGAGGAGACCAGGAAATTGTTAGACTAAAAGTGAAACCCACTAGAGTGATTCCCAGTTCGTTCATTACTTAAACCTCATAAAAACAGTGTCAAAGGAAGTTGGAGTCAAGACGTAATAATATACTTACAGTTGAACCTTAGAAACATTTGCTGATATTTAAGAAATTTTATGATTATAATACTTTAAAATATTTGCATACGCAGCAGGAAAGAAACAATACCCTCTTCCTTCCCTAAAAAATCGTTATTCGTGCCTTCAACAACAAGTTTTGAAGAATTCAACTCCAAGAACTGTATGCAAACTTTCTTCTCATTTTGGTCATGGGTTTTTGACATGCGCCTTCGTGGCTTTGAGCTGTATATAAAATTTATTTCACCATTTCAATTCTCACTATTTCTACTGGCAGAAAAGATGGATATTAACAGAACTGGAAACTTTATGTAGATACATAAAGACTCACCAGAAAAAGAATGTCTGCTGTCGCTGCTCTATTCCATCTGCAACAGTCTGTACACATTAATGGGATGCAAATAGTTAGAGAAGAACTTATTCCAACTCTGCAAAAACATGATTCTTGTTGAAGTTCAACACCTGGTGAAGCGGGCTTATTGCATTATGATGCCTTTTGCATTAGGTTTCCAGAAAGCAATAACAATTACAAGCTAAAATGGACCATTAGAAGACAAAGTGAGAATACGAGAAGATGAAATTCCTCATTCTCTTTGCTTAACTGCAGGGAAATTCAACTTGATGGGACCCTCAGAAGAGAAGTTTTGTTAAGATTCCAAGAACTCTAAAATTAACCAGGTCCCTAGTTCACTTTGAGTTGCTTCTTGCGTAAAATGCAATATTTTCCGACTTTAGAGTAAGAGATATAAAATCCTCTACAATATATCCAGGACAAAGAGATAATTTTCTGACCTCTGATATAAATCTATCAATATTCACAGAGACAGTCACTGCTTGATACTCTTCAGTCACCTGCACAAAAAATGTCAATTTGCTGGTGCTTCTACAAAGGATTCATGCACAAAAAGTGAATGAATTCTAATTACCAACCCAGAAATCGAAGTTGAATAGGTCATGAGAAGAGCACAAGTGATACCGCAGACCCTGGAACAGAGGAAGTTTCGACTTTTGAGTATCCGATAGAACAAAAGCTTGTAACTACATCAAGGTTATAGCACGTCTACATGAACTTGTGAGCTGAAAAGGGGAGGTAGCGAGAAGAACCAAGGACATCACCTTTGAGTGAATGAAATGCAGATTATGGGTGGGAAAACCAACAATTTACATAAGCCATAAATTCTAGTTATATATAATCCAAACACTTTCTGAAAAAAAAAATCGGTATTTTTGTGGACCACCAAACTCAGAATTTAGGATCCTTTTATTAGCTCCTCACCAAACTATATATTTCAAAATACCTGTTTACCCTTTGAATTTATGAATGGAACAACAGAAAAATGCAAAATCAGAAAAAATGTAAACACGTATCTCAGATAGAGCATCCACCTTAAAGCTTAAACATTGCATCAAGCAAAATGGACAAGAGAAGTCCTCAGTTGCTGCAGGTTGAGAAAGCACACAGACAGAATGGTTAGCTGCTCAATTAAAACAATGTTTATAAACAAATATAAAATGGCACCAAAGCACACAAACATTAAATAGCAGACGTATAATCTGATAGAGCTGCAAAAAGTCATTTTATGCTTTTTTTTAAACAGGAGTGTACAGTGCCTACTACGAGGGAAGTTTCAAATAAAAAAAAGAATCTGAACTGTATTTGCATGTATACAAGGAAAAGTCTGTCCTTTCTAAAATAAATTACTGGTTCGATCCAAAATATTTACCAGGGCTACTATATCAAAGCAGAAACACCAGGATTAATATATCATCTTCCATGCAAGTTGTTAACAGATTTTCGATTAAATAAGCAGACTTCCATTCCTACGAATAGATACCTTATTTCAGAAGCCAAGGCTTAATTGTCTAAGTAAATACATCAAGATCTTTGTGAAGTATAACTGATATGCAAAAATGGAATCATTAAAGCCTACAACTTCACAAACCATAAGAGCAAGGGACAGAAGTGATTTGGGAGGCTAAGAGTAGATTTAACCAGAACAGCTCATGTTAAAATTGCATCATTACCAGCATATTAGTATGCGAATAGTGGTTCCAGAAATCATAATCAATAGGCTTCCAAGCGGATGTTGAAACAACTAAACATGTACTCACTAAGTAAGACACCAGAAGAAGAGACCAAAGCATTTTAACTAGTGATTCAACCTCTCAACAACCCTGATTTCACAAGGACAATTTAGAATTCTATTGCATATTAGAAAGAAGGAAAACTTAACCCAAAATATAATATGAACATCCTAGACAAATTGAAAGTATTTGTTCTAAAGAACCATAACGAATGAAGGGAATCTTAAGAATTATTAAAGCATCTAGAATAGTGAATATCGATATTTTCTCTTAACAGATGGAACCATGCAGTATGGTCCTAGATGTTAACAGAAGAACCAATTATTCAGTCCAGGCAGCAACATGTGCTAACCCAAAGCTGCATATATCAAATTGAATAGCATTCCAGGCAAAGTTACCAGTCCCACTTGATGGCTAAGAAGTTTGAAATAATTACACAATTCATAAGTGTCGCATAATTTTGAAGATAACTATTCTCTATTTAACATATTGTTTTCAGCAGTTTATGATTTTGTGATGAAATTTACCGCATGTAAACCATCCAGACGACAATGAGAGGATTACATAATGGACAGACCAATTTTACGTTAGAAAATCACTGTGGAAAAAATTTACTTGGTAGGACATATATCCTTAAAGTTTACCAGCACTCCACAAAAACAAAAATAAAACGAACACAGAAAAAAAAAAAGAAAAACAAAAGAGGTGACATGCAAGGATTTAAAAGCATAAAATAAAAGGTTCAGAATAACCTTCAGTTTTTCGTAGCATGTTCTTGTAGTCCCTGTAGTTGAAAATTACAATTCCATCTCTCAACCTAGACAAGCACATGCGACCAAATATATTAAGCAAACGAAGTTATAATCCCCAGTGCCTTGCAATGAAACTTATAAAGGTTGAAACACGTACCTCTTTTTACGCCTTTCTTTTATTTTGTAACGCAAACATCTTCGAAGAAATGAAGGCTGCAACAGATATTCAGATAAAGCATGTAATTAGAAAGTAGAAACATTGTGTGAATGACTAAGAAAGAAGGCCAAGAAGTTGAGCAAAAACACGTAACAAACAAACATGAGAAGAACATCAAATATTTAGTGCTCAAAAAATTAAGGATAACAATGCAATCCAATCGATATAGCATCAAAAACTCTGTTGATTTCTAGCATTTATATAGATTTAAAGAAAAGTTTGATGATGATATATTAATTAAACTAAATGTGAAAGGGTCTAAACAGCGTCAGCTTGCTGAGTCAAATACCTAACCATCCTAATAATGTGATCATATTTTCTAAAATAAAGGTGACAGCAGTGCAACTATTTTAAATCCCTAGAATCCAATATACAAAAGAACAGAACAATGTGAAGAACATAACAGACAGAGTCAAAGCAATACGGTGGTTAGCACATTATGCAATCTAAAACATCCATATACGGTCAAAGACAAAATGCACAAAAACCACAACCAGATGACTATGCTTAATGTTAGCAAGTCCCAGGAAGTGAAAAGGTAAATACAATGATTACATAAAACATCAAGTCAAGGCAACTGATTATTATTATTATTATTATATTACTAAATATGGAAATTCTAACAGATAACAGATGAATAAAATAAGCAGAAGTAAAGAGGGAATTCATTACATTGTCTTGAGCGCGGCGGCCAAGAATATTGTAAAGCTCAACAGGCTTGCAGTAAATAAGTAGACTCTCATCAGCTGCAACTGCCTCTTCTACTGACAAATGCTCTACGCCACAATTCTGAAGGCACATTTTCTACGATTTCTCCGAATCCAAATTCCTGTTTCATACGAAAAAAATTAAAAATAATAAATAAATAATTGCATCCTATAAAAAACAACAGCGCGAAGCATCATCGATAACCTAGCTGAGCTTAATTTGGGATAGAAATCCCTAATCATAACGAATCTAAAATAATCGAAGGACCAAATTTGAATTCTAAAACAGCAGTAAATTACTGTAAATTACGAGGAGAAAAGAGGATTGGTAAATGATTGCTGGGGGCGCAGGAAAATCACCGTATCGAATTTGGACGGTTGGTAGAACAGGCAGAAAGGAGGAAGTGAGGAGGAGGGGGAGGTCAACGAGAGGAGAAATATAGTCGTTGGGTTAGTACCTAACTAAACTAAATTAGATTAGACTAGACGTCCATCAATTGGCTTCTTTTTGCCCTTTTTAGAATTTAGCTCTGAATCCTAAGCCTACTTTCTCCTTCATCTATTACTTTTTTATTTACTTTTACTTTGCCTGGCAAAATTTAGCATGACCATTACTTTTTTTTTCTTTTGTTTTGTTTTTTTTTTTTTTTGAACAATGGACTGACCGTAGAATTGGCCATGAAGAAGGCTGCACGATCCATCCTAATATTGACTCGTATGGATCTCAACGGCATATTGAACTTCATTGCCCCCTTAGTCGTCCATATAATAAAATAGGTAAAGTCTATGATTGGGCCAGAGACGTAACTTTATTCCTCAAGAAAGGCCAGAGGTGGCCCAGTTACCAGCATATTGTAAGATTAGCACATAACAGTTTTTCTGGCCGAAGATATGGATTTGATTTCATTGATAAAATTTTAATTGATGGGTATGATTTGTATGATTTCTTACATCAAATATTACAAAATCATACATGTTATAGAAGATTGTCTCAAACACAACTAAACGAAATTTTGATAAAAATAGAGAAATAACAGTTGGTTCATGTATGTGCACCAGAACAGTTAGCTAATACAAGTAACTCCAAATTATATGTAACAAGGTACTAACGGCTTGTTTGCATTATGCTACATATCCAGTAGAACAGATAAAATTATTTAAAAAATTTATTATAATTCGATGGTTCTTATTATGCTTTGAGTTCATTAAAATATATTTAAATCAAAAGAAAAAAATACTTAACTTGTGACCCTTTTTTAACAAAAATCTGTACATAATTAATTATTTCCTGTGTTTTTCTTAATAGATTTCCTTCTTTAAAAAAATGATTATTTTTTTTAGTAAATTTAATTATTTTTTCATAACATTGCATCAAAAAATAAAGTGATGATTATTTTAAAAACTTTTCATAAAAAATAAAAAATAAAAAATAATTTTTTATTCTTGTTTAATATCGATGAGAAGATTGATTTTTTAAAAGTATTATATATTACCAAAATAATCAATAATATGAAAATAAAATCTATTTGAAAAGTATAGCATTGTCGGGTTTTTCTAAAAATATAATTTTATTTGAGGGAAATTGATTTTAAAATATCCAAAAATTAAAAAAATATATAGTAAATGTTAAGTGTTTTGTGGGTATATGCACGAGTCAATTTCTAATAAAAAAATACCTATAAAATTGATTTTGATATATTTTCATTACATAAAAAATAAGTAAATAAAACATGTGGATTCTTATTTATTTTTCTTAACGTATATTTTTATTTCTCGATCATACATGTTTGGTTACCATGCATAGGCTTCACATGTATAATAATAAATTATTTTTTCACTTCTTAATCTTAAGTCTTACTCAAAAATTCAAAAATATTCTTAATAAATAATATAAATCAAATTAAAAAATTCAAATGAATATTTTAGAGTATTTATCTCCTCCCTTTAATCATTTTATAATTTAGAACCACCATAAACAATTTCTCCTCTTCAAGATGAACAAATCGAAACCAAGATCAATAGTCGAAATGAGCTTTGCCATCATATTATTTCTCTTCTATCATAACCCAATTTTGGGCTCTTTGAAGGAAAAAAAAAAAGTAAACTCAAATTAATAGATTGTTAAGAACCAAGGACTAAAATGAATTTTGCCAACCTTAGAAATCCCCTTATAAAAGGAACATTTTCTCTTCATCTAGGAGGGGCAACCGGAGAGCCAAGGAAACCACACCTCCATCTCTCCCAAAAATTCTCTTGCAACCTCGCCCTTCGACCTCTAACCGAGTCTTGCAAAATCCTTTCACCCAAAAACACCATAAAAAACCACATACACAAAAATATACCGAAAATTGAAATAGAAATTGCCGAACATGCCCTAACCTAAGATCCAAACCCATTGATTTGTTTACCCGAGTTGAAAGTTTTTGCCCTTCAATTGATTGTTTTTCCGTCAATTTTGACCCCGATCAACACCACCCACATGTAGCCCATCACTAGATTGGTCGATCCATATCGGTTAGAGAGAGAACCAATCACGGAGGAGAGAGAAATCAAAGATCAAACATTCGTGATCCGACCCGCAAAAAGACCTAACCATATAATCAAAGATCAAACGTCCGTGATCCGACCCGCAAAAAGACCTAACCATATCTCCTAACTTTGGTCACCAATACGAGATCTACCACACGGATCCGATCGTTCATCTCCCCGAGCATTTCTCTTTAAAAATCTTGGCCCAACGAGATTGAAAAACAATTTAATTGAACGAGACCTATTTGTCGATCTATTTTGGGAAACCTAGAAAAATTGGTCGATCTAGAAGGAATTGGAGGTCCTAACCACTACGAAATCCTCCTCTTGACCTCACGAGTCGACCGATGTGCTTGAAATCCCGAAAGAAAGTCGAATTCATCATCGGTAAAGAAAGGAGATCCGGTTGAATCTTTAGAGGCTCCGATCTCCCTCCTACAACATCTTCTCTAGTTGCTACCACCACCGTTGGACTTACAACCACCCGATCTACAACGCGGGATAGTCCGGACCTCGAAAAGACCATCGGAAGATGAATGGTTATTGAGCGAGTTGACTTTTGGCATTCTATGGGCACTTTTTTGTAATTTTTCGGTGCGAGTGAGTTTTGAATTGTTCAGTTTTTGTTTTCAATTTTATGTGTTTTGTTTTTGTAATAATTTTTAATCTTATGCATGTTAGAAAACCTAGAGGTACTTAAGGTGTGAAATTTATGTTAATATATGATTTTGATATGGTTAGAATATTAGATCAACGAGTCTCATATTTATTAAGGAAGGACGATGATTTTAATACGTTAATTTTTTAGAATTTATTTTAGTTAATTAAAATTTTAAATTTTTTTTAATTTCGTAATTAGTTTAGATAATTAATGGATATGTGAATTATCGAGTCTCTTAATTTTTAAAGACTAATGACGATTCTTTATCAACAAATAAAAAATAAAAATTCTCAATGAAGTCTCCTATCTAATTGGGACTTTCGTTTGATGAAAAAATAATAAAAATTCTCAACGAAGTCTCCTATCAAATAGGCAATCGTTGTTTGACAAAAAAACAAAAATAGTAAAAATTCTTAATGAGATCTCCTATCCGATAGAGACTCGTCATTAATAAAAATCATCATTTAATAATTAAAATATTCTCTAACACATTGGTTGTGTCAAGACTTAAAAGTGGATCCGATGTTTGAATCAACATGTCGCCGGACGAAGAGGACCAACGATTGTTTCAATACGATGTCACGCCCAAAAATAAAAAACTTATTTTGGCCTTAAAAATTAGAGTTTAAAATTAGAAAATAATTTGGCATAAATAAAAAAATTTTGGAGATGAATTTAGGACTAAACTAGATATGATACATTTTCTTGGAAAAGACACTTTTGAGTGATTAAATATCTTTCCAAAAACATTACCAACTCCTTATCATAGAATCTTTGAACTAGTGCTACTTTTAGATTTCTAATTTTTTAATACTAGGTGGTGACTCCAAACCTATAAATATAATCTAACTCTGTAAAATTAGATTGTTTTTGGGAGTCTCGTCGAACATCGTTTAGCGACATCTTCCCTTCTCTCTCTTTGTTTCTCTCTATATCTAGAAACGAAACCACAATGTAAATAAATTTGAGAAATGAAACAAATTTTTTTTAAAAAAAATCAAGTATCAAAGTGCCATATTTATTAAAACTTCATATCAAATATCTAAATAGAAACTAAAAATTATAATAATATCTTCATAAATGCATGAAAAATAAAATAAAAATCACAACAATAATTTTGAAAATATATGAATAAATGGTGAAAATTACAATGATAAGTGAATAGTGCACATGAAAAAATTATAGCAATGTCATGTAAATAGTGCACATAAGTGTGAATGAATAACGATTGGGTTTACCTCATGATTGGTCCCCGTATATTTTTAATTTTTTTGATTAAGACTTTTTATGTTATTTTAGCTTGATTAAACCCTCTACTCTTTGAAATTTATTAATTCGGACCCTTCGTTATAACACCGTCAACTATTCATCCGACGTGGCATGTCATCATTAACAGTAACCAATCATTAAACAACACATGGTGAAATGGATCCTAAAATGTAATACTTTTCTCTAAATTAAAAAAAAAATACAAACTGATTTTAATAATGAATTAATACAAAAAAAATGTGAAAAAGACCTAAACCTCTCGCCCTCCACTTCATCATCAATAGTAATGAACCTAGAACCCATCCCTCCACTTCGTTGCTCGTCTCATCTTATGGAAAGACATTTAAAATGATCAAAGAGAGATTTCATAGCTGAAAAATATCCCTTATGATCAAAGCTTTAGAGGAGATGTCATCTTGCTCCTTAACAATGAGATTGTGAGCATACAAGTACTTTATTTCAATTTGGTTATTTTTAAACCTAGCTTCATGAGCCAAAGAGTGAGCATAACGGATTGAAGGAAAATCACTAAGAAGAAAGGAATTTTGAAAATCAAATCTATTTTGACCCGACATAAAAACCATGCCTTGTTGATCTTTTATTGTTATTCCTATTCCACATCTCTTAGTAGATAA